TTTGCTATCTGCGCTGTGCCCACCGTAGGAATTGAGCCTCGAATTTTAACGTTATAAACCTGCAGGCTCACTGCTGAGCCACCAAAGAACTAAAGTATTACTACTAGTAATGATACGCTTAGATAAACGCAGACTCTTCGAAGTAATACGTTTATATAAACGCAAACTCTTTGTAACAATTCACTTACATAAACATAAAGACTCTTCGTAATAATTCGCTTAGGTAAAAAGGTTCTGTTAACCACCTATAAGACCCCCAGTAGCACAGCGGTATGTCTGCGGACTTACAACGCTAGTATCCGGGTTTCGATACTCGTGGTGAGCAGAGCACAGATAGCCCATTGTGTAGTTTTGTGCTTAATTACAAACAAACCACCTACAAACCCGTCAATGTCCACTAATTGCTCAATAAATATGTAAAAATATATTTAGTCAGAAATATAAGGTGAGAAGTTAAAAAAGAAGTAGTGAAAAATCTTTATGAGGACAGTTACAATTACACATTTTGATAACATACACTTTAAATTTGTAAGTTTGTCTCTTATTAGGTCACTAACCAGTGACTTTGCACTTTGATCACATTATATTCTGAAGAAATGTCCAATAGCATGAACACAAAACGAGGGCATTTTTGTGCAAACACACACTAAATCGTTTTCTTGTTTATGTTACAATTCATCGTTTTTTTTCTTCAAATCAGCGACTTAAACACTAACACTATTTTACCCATTATTTACAGCCGTGTGGCTGTCAGTTTACTGAAACATTTATACGATGATCTTTACCAGCACAAAAAAAAAATATTTGTACACAGTAAGATTATAATTTTACCAATTAACTATCACAAAAAGAGGTTTAATACTACGAGTTACTTTTTCTTAAAATCCTTATTAGTTGAAGAAAAAGTTAAAACTGTGAAAAATAATAATTTTCTGGTTAAATAGCCATAACAACAATTTCTGTGGTTGAAACAGAATTACATAACTGAGCTTCCAGCAATGGTGGTACATTTAGCAACATGATAGTTCGGTACGACACCTAGTGGTAGGATAGTGGTGCAACGTATAGTAAAATATTATTGGTGGTACAACATTTGGCGGGATGATAGTTCGGCAGAACACCTAGTGGTGCCCCCAGTGGCACAGCGGTATGTCTGCGGACTTACAACGCTAGAATCCAGGTTTCGATACCCGTGGTGGGCAGAGCATAGATAGCACATTGTGTAGCTTTGTACTTAGTTACAAACAAACACCTAGTGGTAGGATAATTGTGGAACATATAGTAGAATATTATTTGTGGTACAACAAATGGCGGCATGATAGTTCGGCAGGACACCTAGTGGTAGGATAATTGTGGAACATATAGTAGAATATTATTGGTGGTACAACAAATGGCGGCATGATAGTTCGGTAAGACACCTAGTGGTAGGATAATTGTGGAACATATAGTAGAATATTATTGGTGGAACAATAAATGGCGGCATGATAGTTCGGTAAGACACCTAGTGGTAGGATAATTGTGGAACATATAGTAGAATATTATTGGTGGTACAACAAATGGCGGCATGATAGTTCGGCAGGACACCTAGTGGTTGGATAATTGTAGAACATATACTAGAACTTTTGTGTGTGATCGGTTTGTGTACTTAATCAGAATTTACTAGAATGTTAGTGGTGGTATAGAAGCTAGTGGAACGACACCTTGTGGTATAATAGTTGTTGAACACATAGTAGGATGTTAATGATAGTACAACATGTTGAAGTATGATTTTTCGGTGCGACACCTAGTGGTAGAACGGTCGTAGAGCATATCGCAGAATGTTAGTGGTAGTATAACATTTAACACTATGACAGTAAAGTTACGACAGCTACTGATTTGATAACGACGGTACAATATATCGCAGTTATTTACGGTATAATTGTTGTGTTTGTTTGTTTTTGAATTTCGCGCAAAGCTACACGAAAGCTATCTGCGCTAGCCGTCCCTAATTTAGCAGTGTAAGACTAGAGGGAAGGCAGCTAATCATCACCACCCAACTCTTTTGCCCACGGCTGAAAGGGCGAGCATGTTTGGTGTGACGGGGATTCAAACCCGCAGATTGAGAGTCGAGCGTCCTACCCACCTGGCCGGGCCGTTGTGACATCTTATAGACTGTTGCTTAGTTGAATTTCGAAAAAAAGGGGCTAGCTGCACTAGGAGTCCCTAATCTTGAAGTGATAGACTGGAAGGAAGGCCCCGATTTAACAACAGGAACCGTCAACTTGTGAGTTACTCTAGTTCATTAGTAGGATTTCACTGTTATTCTTATAACACACTAAAGTTCGGAACATGATTTTTTTATCGATAACTGTGTATATTATCGATAATCTTATGACACCCCTAATTACATTTACAATACCCCCCCCCCAAAAAAAAAATAAAATAAAACGAATAAAGATCAAAAGATCGTTTCCTTACAGTTGAAATACAGAAAAAAATTAGGGAAAATAAAAGTTATAATAACTATTAGTTTATTTTGTAATGACTATTATTATTTCTTACTTGTATTAGTACTAAAGATGATGAGTATGTAAATGGTGAAATGTCATTTTATCTAGGCAATTCAATTTTAAGGTTTTCATCCATAAAGGACATTAAAAACTAGAACAGACCAAGAAAAGCCTTTATTTCCTTTACTGAAGGTCTTGTGAACAAGTATATTCCACGAATATTCATTGCGGCCATCGAGCCCTGAATTTTAGCGTAACAAGCTAGCCCTAAGTTATGAGGGAGGGCAACTATATTCAATAAACGGTATTAATTTTCAGAATGACAGAGGCATGTGTCAATAAAGGTTTTAAAGTTGCACTATAGATGCTCCCTAACTGATGAAATGTGGTTTATATTCACTAAATTTGGCCCTCTTTTCTTTAAGTCCCAGAACAGGATCGTAACTATTAGCACATGATGAAGCTAGAAACCCTTTAGGCCTACTTTTATTTAAACTACTGCGTTATTTAGTTTCATTTCTCACGTACTTTGTCTAGCTAAAAAGTTTATTTATACCACTTTCAAGTCTGTACTACATTATCAGAAGACACCGTAAATTCGGATCCGAAATATTTTTTAACCAGTTTTTTAAGCGTTTTGGTTTCCAGTACCAGTTGTACATAAAGAATCAGAAATAGTATATTGCTAAAAAACGGAATTATTGATGTAACTAAATATAGAGGGGAAGTAAAAAAAAGTACAATAATGAGTTACAAATATCTTTATTCATCACTCAGGGAGGAATGTATAAGTTATATACTGTTGCGTCAGCGAGGTCACGTGACTAGTGTCACGCCACGTTTTCTAGAAATATCCTGTTCCTTAATGAATGCCCTAGCATTTACTAGATTGGGGGTAGTCTGGTATATATAAGATGCTCACAACGTGACGGGACATCAGTGTAGTATTGAGTAATTGAGCTGCAGTCAG